AAAGCTCTCCCTCAAGAGTTTTAACACTGCTGCATTCCTAGGGCTCGAACACGAGACCACTGGTTAAGCTGGAAGAGACCCAAGTCATCTCATCCAAGCGCTCAACATTCTTCATAATAAATAAATAAATAAATAACATGTTTGTAGAATAAAGTAGAATAAAGTGAAAAATTTTAAAACTTAAAAATTCAAATGTACAACTACTCACGTGGGATCAACATGCAATTTATATACTTTCCCAATATGAAAAGAGTATTGTAGGACCCACAACTTACTTTCCAAAAATAGAAAGTGAGTTGTCTAATTATATAGTAAATAGATAAACATTAAACCTATACGTAAGTAAAAACCAAATTAAATAAAAGATATCTAGAAAATATAAATTCTAACAATCAATTTACATGTTAATCTCTTTCCAATTTTATTTATTATAGTCCATCATTATGTGGTTTCATTTTTAATTATCTGTTCCATTTATCCTAAATATTAATTACTAGAATTTGAATTATTATTTGATTTTTTGTTGTACTCACACATTTATAATAAATGATAATAAATGAAAGAGGTTGTTGGATTTATTAGAATTAGAAAGTTTCTATTGGTCAAATTTGATTGACTTTCCAATAATAGTAATTGTTATTATAATTTAATGAAAACGATGTATTTTGTAATGATTTTAAGTAAAACAAAAATCTTAATATATTTGAAAGACAAATATTTTTTTCCTTACCTTACGGATCAAATTTTTTTATAGATAAATTTAAAAAACCTATCAAAAACTGATCTGGCCAAAATTTTATGTCGAACTAAAAATGATTTATGATTTTATTTTTACTTTTTGCTTGAATTATTTTTGTTAATCAATTTAAAATATGTTAAATTGAAAAACTACTAGAATAACAATGTCCATAAAATTGGACAAATTTTCACATCTGTAGTACATATCAGTATGAAGAATTCGTACAAATCTTGAAATCATTTTTGGTGATTTTCCAACTGAAAAAGATTTATAACTTAATAACATTTTAAATATATATTCCTTTGCAAACAATTGATTTATAAATATCCATTTACAATAATGTTTAAAATAACATTTATAAATATTTATTTACTCAGTCTGAATTCACTGCAAAAATGATGTTTACGTTCTAAATGTTCGCAAAATATGTGTCAAAATTTTATGTCAGAGTAAAAAAGATTTATGGTTTTATTTTTTGGATTATTTTTATTAATCAATTTAAAACTAAAACTACTAGAAAATCATTGTATGTAAAATTGGCCAAACTTTCATATCTTTAGTATATATCAATACGAAGAATTCGTAGAAATCTTGGAATTATTTCGAGCAATTTTCCAACTAAAAAGGAAATTGATTCTTACCCGTAATTGCATCATTTTCAACAAATTAGTATAGATTGGAAGATATAGTATTCTTAAAAAACAGAATCTTCTTCGACTTCAAAAAATTACATGGTTGATTTCCTGATACTTTAGATATAAATTTAATAAACAACTTTTTTTTTTTCGCATTCGATATCACTATCCAAAATATATATTGAAATCCTGAAATATGCATGATTAGTTTCCTAATTCTATGAAAACAAACACAATCACATAATTCCATGGAAAAAACATAATCTAGGAGTGACAGTTCCATTTACGATTTCTTAAGTCATGACTATAAATAAGAGTCAAAGTCAATCATTATCCCATGCTGTTATGGTTTTGAAGGATTAATTACACGTTGCTCCCGTGTTACCAATCGAAACGGTTTGTAAATATTAATTTATGGTGACGATAACTATCCCACAAATCAAACAAAAAGTATTGCATAATAAAAAGATTTTCAATAATATATGATATGACTTTCCTATGTTATTGTCGTGCTGTGTATTATTGTCGTATGTATCATAATTTATTCACAATTTAATTTAAAATTTTAAATATTTCACTTCAAATATATTGTCACGTGCATAGCACGGGATCCCAACTAGTTGTTTAATGGTCAAGCAACTAGTTGATTTAATTGTCAAGAGGTTAAATTTGATAGGAGTTAAATATTTTTCTATAGTAAGTGACTGAAAATTATAATCACCTATTAATTAATTTATTTATTTAATCATTAACAATTAACTAGTATGTAACCCGTGCGATGCACGGGTTGTATTTAATTTAGAGAATATTAAAAATTAAAATGTATTAATAAATAAAAGAGTGATAATTCGTAGGAAAATTATCAAACCATAAATGTTCCTCATGCAAAAAATATATTATTTAAACTTTCTTGTACACAACATTATTTGTTCAATAACTGAGCAACTTGTCGTCCCCACAAACTAATATTTTCAACACTTTTATATTACTTACACGCGAAACAAACAACATAATTGTCCGTGACTAAAAATCGATTTCTTTAAAAACATGCCAACGTATAATAAATGTTAACCTTGACTCTTCTTGATCTATTACTTAACATGTCAACGTACAATAAATGTTGACCTTGACTCTTCTTGACCTATTACTTACACGCGTAACATCATACAATTGGTCGTGATCAAAAAAAGATTTTTTTAAGAACATGTCAATGCACATCTCTTATCTATTATTTACACGTAAAAACAACAACATATAATCGGTCGTTGCTAAGAACCAATTTTTTTAATAATATGCCAACGCACATAAAGACTGACCCTGGTCTTAATTGAAACCCTAAGATTTGAAGTAACTGGTGCTCTAGCATTTAAATGAAATCCTAAGATGGATCATTTTATAATATGATTATATTTACTTAGGCAGTCAGACAATGAGCTGTTAGTTTAATATCGATTATACTTTATTAGCTACATAATATTTACTAATATTTCTATATTTTTTATACAAAAAGACTGACCATGACTATTAAATGGAACCCCAAAATCAGAAGGAACTGGTGCCTCTGGAACATAAATGGAAGTCTAAGATGGATCTATTTATAATATGATAATTTATACAACATTGGACAAATGAATTGGTGTATATCTACAAAAATATGTATGAATAATACAAAACATTAAATACTACATCACACTAATTTTATGAGAGATTATATATAGTAGATATAAAATATAAAATATTAGTGATTAAACATTACTTCAGGCTAATTTTTTCAAGCCGAACAATTTTTAATTGAATGTGTGACAACTTGTTATATATTTTCAAACTGAACAATTTTTAATCGGACAACTTTCCTATTATATGTCTGACAACTTTTTAGGTAGTAAATATATATATTGCAATAAACTTATATTTTGTGTATACAAAAACAAATCGATTTACTATATAAAATTTTAAAAACTTTCTTTTTAAAATTGACAAAAAGAATACCAATAAAGGGAATTGGTGTATATATATAAAAAAGATTTGTATATCTCATATAAAATCGTTCATTTTCAAAATCTGCTACAATGAAAAATATATTTAAATATTAATATAAATATATTTAGATATGAACATAAATTTATATTTTGTAATTGTTGGTTCTAATAAAATAAAAAAGAATCCTCACAAATGAGAATTCCAAAATTGACGCCATGTAAATTTAAATATTACTGTAATTTTTTTTTGTGTGTATGTAACATATATGATAATAAATTTATATTTTGTAATTGTTGGTTCTAATAAATATGATAAAATAAAAAAAAAAACCTCACAAATGAGAATTCCAAAATTGGCGCCATATAAATTTAAATATAGCTATAAAATTAATTTTTTTGGTGTGTATGTAACATATATGCTAATCCAAATCAATGATTCTAATAAATCTGTTAAAATAAAAAAGAATCTTTGATAAATAAGAGTTTCAAAATCGGCTACATATAATTATTTACATAATCTTTTCCTACAAAACCACTATCAACGTAATTAAAGAAACCAAGAATTTACTAAAACAAACACTAACCGAAGTATTAAATATGCGTAGGATACTGTGTGATAATCAACTGATTTAAATAATAACTTTGTTTCTTTTACATAAAGATATTAAAATATTAAATGAATAATATATTTTTTAACTGAATATCTAAGGCAAGAGATTCTAAATTCCATATTGATATGGACCTACAAAAGGAGAATATTGTTTTGGATTTTCATTCCATATCATAAAAGGAAACAAAAATCGGAAAAACATATCTAATATAATTAGACAATGACTAATGAAAGTTTGTTAAGTTGCTATTTTTAGGCTATAATTAATGAATTTGGCGGGAAAAGATTACTAAAAGTGAATTACGATTAATCCTCCCTATATATAATTGAAGAATGCGCTGAGCCTACGTGGCTGCTTCTGGTGCTTCGGAATCCTATTTGGCGAAAAATCATGCTTCGTAATTAGGTTTGGACAAATAATATTAATATATTAATAATTAA